AAGCTATTGATTGTGGTTACAAAGCTCTTTTCCCCACAATTTAAGCCTCAATCCCAGCTCTAATAGCACAAAGCAAATTAGCCAAAGACTTAAGAGTAAAGACAGTGATGACAATTATAAGTTCTTTCAAGTTAAAAGTTTAGACTAGCTATTAACATGTCTGTATATCTACACCAATGTAAATCGTTGTTTACAAGACAAATAAACACCAGTAAGGTCTTCATTGGCAGTACAGGTCAATTGTATCTAAGTAGGCAAAGTATCATTGGGTTATATATGACAGGTCTATGTTGGAAGATTGTATGTAACCTGCTGGTATACTCAGCGCCTTAAGAATCTTTGTTGAAAGACTTTAACCAGTAATTTTATTAATCTAGTCTACAGGTCATTTGTTCAGATCCCACACTCCAAAGCACTTTATACCATTAGCTACAGGCCAAATATCATGGCCTTCTGCCTTTCCGTTTTTCAGTTTTATAGTTTCGGGACTATTTCCAGCTATGTCGAAATTACATAGGAGCCTGCCCCCTCATAACTTTTGTTTCAAAAGTGCTACGAGATTTATGCTGCTGTTTTAACTTGTTTCAATCTCTAATACATCTGGAGTTATTACTTTGAACAATTCTACTAATTATTCAGATGATTTATTAATCTAAATACAGCATGGAGGTCGAAAACTGAATATTAGCCTGAAAGTATTTTTCTGAAGAAAAAAATCGTTTTTGTTTGCATCATTTTACTTGGGAAAGAACATTTTCTTTCATGTAGTACTTTAATAACATATTTATCATCCAGAATGTGAGTTTAATCGAACATTTTGTGAGAATGTTAACGTAAAATATCGGATGTTTCATTCTTATTAATCTTGTATACCAAAAATATGTATGCGAAAATTCAGTCCAAAAACAGTGATGGAAAGTATTCATTTCGCACAACAAAGTACCCTGTGTACCCAAAAAGGTGAGGGCCTAAGACACCTCCCTGGTGTCCACCAAGAAGCAATGCACCAGATTACAGGTAATTGGTAATGAAATTCGTTACAAGCCTACAATAAACCTTTCATTGCATTTTAGGTCACCAAAAAATCCAAATTCAAGTGTGCTTCATCATTTGGCGTGATTGATAAAGCTTTTGTTACAATCAATTTAGAGATCAAATTCATTATCCTTGTCACTTTTTAGGATTTGTTCTTATACATTTTGTTTTCATTTTTTATGCATTTTATCATCAGACTTTTGGTTTTACATTGCTTTTAGAGGATATTTCATACTCATTTGTTAATATTCATCTCATAATGGAGAGTAAATATATCGGTGAAGGTCGCCACCGTACCTTCGCGAAATCTCGTAAATGTAAAGGTACACGAATTGTAAAAAAAAAGGCTTTTGGTTATACTGACTAAAAGTGGCATCGATTGCTCAAATGAAGAAGTTAGTATTTGTCCGAAGTGCTACATAAGGTATCTGCACTAAAGAGAATCTGAAACAGAACGTTTTGAAGATGAAACTACTAGAAGTTTTCCTCTTTTAACAATCAAGGACCTGTTTTACGGGTCCTGTTCACATAACAAAAATGTTGTCTTTATTTTCACAATTTTAATTCGAAGAGAAGCAGATCCACACTTCTGCATAAACGTGCATCAATTAATTTTCACACACAAATTGTGGTGTTCTGCATCATCACTGTATGCTTATTTCATCTTATTGGCAATGACCTGAACCCTTATACATGCAATGGTTATCCTATAAGGCAGAGACTCTTTGAATTCTCAATTATGATGTAGGTCATCTGAAATATTTGATGACCTTTTAGAAGTGTCGTACATCTTATCAAAGAATCAATCAGCCTTCACTCTCAATTTTTGTCTCTTGGATGACGCTGGCTTCAAAGCTTGCACATGTTGGTCAAAATCCATTCGCACTTGGTCAATTTCTACCAAAACTACACAAAATGCTCTTTTACTGTTTTGGGTTAAGATGAAAAATGATATCTCTTGTAATTAAGTGTCCCGCTCGTTTTGGTATTTCCCTTCCTTGCAATGCATTTCAAAATCCTTTCATTCTGTAGTACAAGCACTGAATAAATATATGGTTCCAGTGTTCCTTGGCCCTGACCATTTGAGTAGGGAACATATACTTTCACACAATACTTTATTCTTAGAGAGTCAAACATTCTTTGGAGCCAAAGTGAGAGCCTTAATATATTTTGGACACAGTAGGACCATTCTCTGGAAGCCAAAATAATGCAAGCATTACAAAAACATCATAGACAATCTCATATTGTTGGAGCAAGACGACAATGTAGTCGTTTATCGAGGTTTTAGAGATGTCCTGCCAATGTTAGAGGCATCAGGTATTAATACCAGTATGCACTCGTATCTTAAGACTGGTCTGAGACAACACTCTAATCTACAGGCTAATATTGACAGAACAGTTACTAAATCCCGATGGATTGTAGAGTCGTTTTATGGACGTCTTAAGCATTGGATATTTTTTAGAACTCAATTAATATCAAATTGCTTCATTGATATAATTGAGGAAGTGCTAAAGATTGTGACTGCATGTCTCAATATGATACGGGGACCAATTTATCAAAGATCATCAGAAACTGACAGAAAAGGCAGAGCACTCGCACATCAAATGGCGTTTCTATTAACAAAAACAAACTGTTTGTCTCAGGGTGAAAACAACCAGCTCTCCAAGATAGCAAAGTCAGAATTCGTAAAGATTATGAAATATGGGTGAATCAGCACTATCAAGACTTCATCCGTTGTCAGATATGTTCCAGACACAAATGCCAGACTAAATATAATGTTTGGAGTCAGTACAGCGCGCCACCAAATGATACTAATCCAATACTACTGCCAATGCCAAGTTGGTCTAAGAACTATGGGAATGTGTGCTCATACATCAAGTATACTTTATGATCTTGGCTATCATAGCAATCTCCAAAATCCAAACAGTTGCACCCTGACAACACTTAAAATAGTTGTTTTCTTATGAATCTAGAATCACCAGTTTGAAAACAAACTCGAAGCCTGAGATAAAAAAGGCCTTTTTTTTTTTTTTTACCAAATCTGCCATTCCAACACATATCATACTCTTGCATCTTGTAAAACATTATCTGTAAATGTCATCAGCTGTTAATGAGGTGTCTAACTTTAATAAATATATAAAAAAAAGTAGCAAACAAACAGACAATCTCTAAATTCCTTTGATATTGCAAGAAAATTGTCTTGAAATCTGGCAACTGATTAGGCAGTAGAATGAATGTTTTGGTGGCCATCTTGAAAGGAATAAACCAAAGAATCTTTTCCAAACATGTTCTCTGTTAATCAAATATTCATTCCATCTGAACTGGAACAAATATTTTCTTCTTTTCTGTCAGTTTTCAGTCAAAATTATTTGACTATACACATAGCCATGCATTCTGATGTATAGACCATATGGTCATTTGATCCCTCCTTTGAATATGTTCCACCACATATTTTGGATTGATATTTTTGTCACTTGTAGTTCATGACCTAGTCCTTCTAAAATCAAAATATTTTTGGTATACAAAAGTTATAAGATACTTTTATTCTAAGATGAACACATCTTTTGTCTGGAAAATATCATTACTTGAGATGGCGACCGGGTGTTGATTTGTCTGTAAATATCTGATAACTCACCATAGCAAGGGATTTTTACATGTATACTGAAGCATATATGATCCTACATGTATACTGTAGCATATATGATCCCTAGTTTTGATTGCATCAAAATTGATCCTTCAATGCATTATTAGTTTGACAACATTTGTCTTTTGGGGAAAAACTCTGACTTTTTGAGAATTTCAGTTTAATGTTCCTATGAAAAACGAACCAAAACCAAGTGCTCATTTGAATTTTGGTTGGTGTTTTCCTTGTGATAAGTTTTAGGTCTACACCTCACCAAAAGAAAAATTGAAATCAAAGGAGGAGCCATTTTGGACAAACTTGATACATATGTATCCCATATTCCCAGCATTCTACTGGCCAAATATAATTACAATACTGAATAGGCCTTTTGGTTAATTCCAAAGAAGTTGTTTATAGATTTAACGATTTACTCCAATGCATACAAGTTAACCGAAAGGCATACTTGCCAACTCTCTCTATTTAGGAGGGAGACTCCCGATTTTGGAACCTTAAATTTAGCATTTTCAACCAGTGGATTTGCTAAAATGTTCCTATATTTTAAGATCTATAATTATTTTATCTGAAAGAACAATTAAAACTATGTCATTTAAAGGCTTACATGTATTTTGTCTCTTTGGGTTATATACACACATTTTATCTAGGTTTTAATTTTGAGCATGCACAATCTCCCCTGTGGAAGTTTCAAAAAGTTGGCAAGTATGGAAAGGGAGCACTGATGTATTAATATTAGCAATTAAACTAGAGTATTGAGCTGATTTATTAACATTCATTATTATTTTAATATTGGAAAGTTATTTTCTAGCATTAGAAAATAATTTGGAATTACAAAAAAAAAAAGATATTTATACATGTATGTTCTAATATTTAAAAAAAAAGTAAAGTGATTTATTTTATTTTTTTATTAGACTAATATTAAAAAATAATTAATTTCTAATATAAAAAAAAATACCAGGGACCCTTTTCCACTTTGGATACAAAACAACAACTGCATCTTGTGATATAATTTAATTCATTTTCGGAAATGATGCCACAAATCAATAAGTAATGAGGTTATAGACACAAATGGAAATGGGCAGGACCAGGTAGGGGCCGGAACTATTAAGGTATGAACGACGAGGGACGCTAACAACTTTGGTCTGGAAAGCGGTCAGCGGTCTCACGGGCCTCTTACCTTACAATAAATTTGCTTTCTTAGCTAAAATGTTAACTTATATTTTTATATTGCCAATTGATGCAAAGTCTCGAGAGCGAGAGTCTGGGACAAGCGAGGCTAATATTAAAACGAAAGTAGATGACGTCATCATATCTTGTGTAGCCGATCGCGAGCAGACAGAGCTAACGGGTCACGAGCTGCCCTTTGCTGTGGACCGTGCCTGATTTCAAATAATCTCGCCTTTATGCAGGTAAAACAGGACATACCCCGAGCCTCGTGGCATCGTGAATAGAATGGAGATATGGGTATGTTAGAAATGCGTTTGGTTTGACTTTAATGTGTTTAATCTAACCGGGAAGCAAAATTCAGTTGGTTGTGGCCTGACCGCCATTGCGAAGTTTTCCTGTTCGGGTGGGTCAACCTTACGCGTACGTGTGTTATTGTTTCTGTGATCAGTGTAGGCGTGGCTTCCTAGTATCACATACATATAGACACATAAATGAATCCTTGGAATATCAAAATCTTTGATTTTATTTAACAGTATATCTCTTTCACACTAGGCAATGATGCCGAAAACTAAACCGAAAGTAGAAAATAATGGGAATTCCAGGAAGTCATAATGACTTAAACAGCATTTCTGTAGATCGTTGTATTTGTTTCGGCACAGCCGTCTTAGATCGAATTGATTTCCACCTTGTTTAGTTCAGTATTAGTTGGGAAACCCACTTACGTTATATGACATGCTAGCTGACTTAACTTGGTATCTAGTGCACTTTGTACTGCACACCTAGTGAACAAGGAAGTGCATTTGACAAAACATTGAATTGCACTCAACTTCACGTCAGTGTTAACCCCAGTTCACTTCAGTGTTAACTCCAGTGCACTACAGTGTTAATTAACTCCTGAGTGCATGCATAACAGTGTTTACCAAAGTTAAAAAGACTGTTCATGCGACAGCAAGTCTGCTGTGGGGTCAGGTTGCAGTTGGTCTAGCTGTCCTGCAGACAACCACAAACTACAAAGTCCTATCAGGAAAAAAAATATAACAACCCTGAACCTGATTGCTAACACCTAAATAGTTAGTGTCAACTACTGCTTATTGTCTTACCCTCTTCTTCATTACCTGGATGTATGGTTTGAGATCATCATCGGGTCAATTGATCTGAACACATCATTTCATTCATCATGAACATAAATTCAAAAAGATATTTGACTTTTCTTTTTTCTACATATATAACAAAGCTAAAAATGACAGTCAAATCAGTTAATAAGTTTCTGAATGAAACATATTTGACAGATGGAGAAATTTCTATAAATGCAAAATTTCTGTAAACTACGTTGTATTACTTTGTATCCATGGTATAATTATATAGTAGTTTCATTTGGAAAACAAAACAATATCTAAAAAAACATTACCATATGATATTTGAATATATTTACAATGGCAAATCAAGTGTTTCCATGCACAGACTTGCCTAGAAGCACAGATCGTCAACTTGTGGATAACAATATCTCACAAGTTAATACTTTTTAGAGCATTTGGCCAATTCAAATTCATTTTGTAATCTCTCTTGTTTTTGTTTCAGTAAATAGTGAACCATGCCGAACGGCCGTGGTAAAGGAAGGAAACGGAAAGGACCGGCTCGGAGAGTTACTCCGGCCTACAGTGTCCTGTCAGAGGACCAGCCAGGGACGAGTACAGCAGGGTTGATCCCCGCCTCAGACTCAGATGGTAATGTATCAGAGAATGTTAACATGTGTAATCAATTCCGTTAGGTGCTTTATGTTATGGGGCTCTAACTTTCAAAAAAGTTGTTTCTTGAACAAATATTCGGGGAATAAATTCCATGTGCCACCACCAGAAGTATTAGTAATTTGATGAAATCCCTTTTATATTATATTGCCATACATATATTTGTGTTATATTTCACTTTTTCTCTCAGGTCGGAAATAAAGAGAACATTAGATATGTATAAAATCAAGTCTTCTGACCATTCTAAAATTTGGTAGTTATGATTTTATGTTTTTTTGAACAAAGTATTCTGACTGATTCAACAACAGAATAAGGTGTAACATAATGAATCTATTGAAATCATTGGTGGTAAGATATCCCCATCACTCCTTATATCCACCATCATCAGATGATGTGCTAATGTTTAGATATCCACTTCACTCCTTATATCCACCATCATCGGATTATGTGCTAATGTTTAGATATCCCCTTCACTCCTTATATCCACCATCATCAGATTATGTGCTAATGTTTAGATATCCCCTTCACTCCTTATATCCACCATCATCGCATTATGTGCTAATGTTTAGATATCCCCTTCACTCCTTATATCCACCATCATCAGATGATGTGCTAATGTTAAGATATCCCCTTCACTCCTTATTTTCCCAACACCATATGGAATCAGGTTGTATTGTGGGCAGTATTGGGTAGAGTATAAGTAGTAGTGGGTACAGTATTGTGTAGTAGTGGGTACAGTATTGTGTAGTAGTGGGTACAGTATTGTGTAGTAGTTGATACAGTATTGTGCAGAGGTTGGTACAGTATTGTGTAGAGGTTGGTACAGTATTGTGTAGTAGTTGGTACTGTATTGTGTAGTAGTTGGTACAGTATTGTGTAGTAGTTGGTACAGTATTGTGTAATAGTTGGTACTGTATTGTGTAGTAGTGGGTACAGTATTGTGTAGTAGTTGGTACTGTATTGTGTAGTAGTGGTTACAGTATTGTGTAGTAGTAGGTACAGTATTGTGTAGTAGTTGGTACAGTATTGAGTAGTGTTTGTAAAGTATTCAATAGCTGTGGGTAGTGTTGGGTTGTATTAAGCAGCATCTTGCCTTCCTGGAAAAAAGTTGTTCTGCTTGATTCAAGCAACACGACTGTGTTTACTGTAAAAGGAAAGGTGTTTTTAATGTATCTCTGAATAATGTTTTTCAATTTTCTTTCCAATCCAGACACTCCCCAGATATCACAGTCCAGCCAGGCGAGCCGACCAAGCACTGCTTTTGTAAGTTTATCACATATTGATGCTGTAGGATAAAAATAATGAAATAGAGTGCTTCCTCTGTCTGTTGTCATCATATGTTGTCTGCGTCATTGGTTTAAATAACATCTCCTCCCAAACTGCTGAGCATATTTCAGCTTAATGTTAGTGAAAGCATTTTTTGCTCACCTGCCCAAAGTGCAAGTGAGCTTATGCCATGGCGTGGCGTTTGTTGTCTGTCGTCTGTCTGTAAACTTTTCCTTAAAACGCAACTAGTCCTGAATGATTAAGAGTATTTTAACTAAATTTGGTCTGGATTATCCTCAGCCAAAGGGGATACAATTTTGTATAAACTGAGGGTTTGGCCTGCTTAGGGACAGTGGAGTAGGGCAAAATAGGGGAATTGAAGAAAATCAATTGTCGAGAATATTGGGCAAGGGGAATTCCATTTTATATAAACAGAGGGTGTTTAAAATTCTTTCGTACAAATGGAGGGATTCAAACCAAATCTGGTTTAGAGCATCCTTGGGCAAAGAAGACTCATTTTAAGCTCACCTGGCCTGCCCGGCGTCAACGTTTTACTTTAAACAACTTCTTCTCCAGAACCAATAGGCCTAGGGTGATGGCATTTATTCAGTAGCATGCTGAGATGATGGGCTACCAACTTTGTTCAAATGAATTACCTTTGCCAATAGTCAAGGTCAGTGGGGTCAAATAGGTTGAAATCTTTTTCACAAATTTTCTAAAGAACCGTAAGTCCAAGGATTATGTTATTTGGCTAGTAACATGCTGGGATAAAGTGCTACTAAATTTGTTCAAATGAATGACCTTGACTTATACTCAAGGTCACATGGGCCCCCCCCTCTTGGTGTCAGAGGGGCGGGGTCCTAATAGGAGAAATTTAGGTTAATCATTTTAAAAAAATCTCCTTCTTAACAAATAGAGGGATTTCAACCAAATTTAGTCTAAAACATCCTTGGGCAAGGGGAATTTGCTTTTATATAAACAAAGTGTGTGGCTCCCCTAAGGGCAGAGAGGCAAGTCCCATGTTTAAAATCCTGCTCCTTCTTATGAATGGAGGGATTAACACCAAATAGGGTGTGGAGCATCCTTAGGCAAAGAAGACTCATGTTTAGCTAACCTGCCCAAAGGGCAAGTGAGCTTATGCCATTGCGCACCATCCTTCGTCCGTCTGGCCGGCCAGCCTCAACTTTTTAATTTAAACAACTTCTTCTCAGTATCGGGTGGTGATATTTTGCCAGTAGCATGTTCATAAGATGAGCTATCAAGTTTGTTCATGTGGATGATCTTGACCCACTATAATTTCAAGGTCAAATATAGCCAAATGTGTATAAACTTTTATCTCAATACACAAAAGAACTAGGGTGGTGATTTTGGCAAGTTAAATGCTGAGATGAAGGGCTATAAAGTCTATTGAACTTAATGAACATGTCAGACTTTCACGGTCATATGGGTCAAATATCTTTAAATCTCTTCACACGTTCTTTTGAATGACTTAGTCATAGATTTCAGTCCACTTTGAGGTCACAAGTGAAAAATCAATGCCACTGCCCAGGTGTGCGATGCAGGCCCATTGGGCCTCTTGTTGTATAAATGGAGGATGTGAGACCCCTGGGGACAGAGGAACGGGGCCCACTACGGAGAACATAGGGAATTATGTTTAATAATTATAATAATTATTTGAGGTTTTTATATACCGCTTTATCACAACCTAGTTTTAGGTCGTCTCAAAGCGGTTCATAGATTATTATCCGTGGTAAAGGGCCTTAGCAACTAGCCAATATCTTTCTCAACTCCATGGGGAGCATAAAGCCGGTGCTGCCATTTCGGCGCTCACAGCTATTCACAACAATTCTAGCACTGCCAAACCACATATTCATTTACAGTGTCCTATCACTAGACTACCGTGCCTCCATAAAATCCTTCTACTTCTGTATTTTGAATGGTGGACTTTGAAACAAATATGGTGTAAAACATCCTTTGGGGACTCGATTTTGTATAAATGGAGGATGTACGCCCCCCCCCAAGTGTCAGAGGGGTGCGGACCCTTATAGGGGAAATTAAGGTTAAGCATTTAAGATTTTACTCCTTCTAAATAAACAGAGGGATTTGAACCAATTCAAGGTCACAGGGGTCAAATATGTGTCAACGACATCTTCTGAATAACCATACGGCCCAAAATATTTGTATTTGTGCAGTAGCATTCTTTGATGAAGGGCTACAAAATCTTCAAAATGAATTACTTTGACCTATAGTCAAGGTCACAGGGGTCAGACATGTTTTAAACCTTTACGCAATTTCTTCTGAATAACCAAATGTCAATAATGTTGATATTTGACCAGTAACATGCTTGGATGAAGAGCCATACATGCCATATCTCACGATTTAGGCGTGAGACTCATGAAAAACAGCCTTCCAAAATGTCTCACGGCGTGGGAACCCATTTTCACCCTTTTTGTTGCAAATAATTTGATCTCACGAAAAGAAACAAATTTGGTCAATCTTTGTGAATAAACAATAGCTACATGGATTCACACTGACCTTGGTCACCGCGAGGTCTGAAGTCACACGCCAGCCACTTAAATCACAGGCCAGGCCAATTAGCAGCATATATAGGTGTGAAAGTTCTGAATGGCCCGGCCAGCCGATTTAGCGGGGCATGGCTTGATGACATGCTCACCGATGTGTTAACTGTTAAGCAATTAAATCAGTGATCCTACATCCAGTGGGGGCTAGTTGCTAATTAATATGTGATGACAGTTGATATTAACATTAAACAGCAACATAAGGAGATGTCAGAGCTGTTGTTAATACCGAAACGGAAATGTTGGAGGTGACTATAAAATCGAAACTGGACACTGACATTGAAACCGGAATTCATTCTCTTGCCGTCGGGACGGGATTGAGTGTTAATGAAAATAACATAAATAGAAGAAAACAAGTTTCTTCAGAATTGGATTTATAAAAATAGTATTTATTGGTTATTTTTTTCCCAACAAATTAGAATTAAATATTCCCAATGTTTTGCGATATATTTTTTCTAACCTGGGTTAATAAGGACATCCCTGTGGATTTTTTTCTTTTTTTAATTTACTTTTAAATATTGATAGCTTTATCTGGACCGTATGTCACGTGTAAACCTTCCTAAAATCCTTTAAAATATCAATAAATCTTCAATTTTGGCTCTAACAAAGTAATTGGAGGCTTCAGAATAGCACAATTGATTCAATACTATGATATATGCTATATAATTTATGTTTTAAATGTCTCACAAATTTCTCACGAATTCAGAGAAAAAATCTCACTATTTTTGACCAAATCTCACTAAAAATAATCACTGATCTCACTATTTTGCACCAGAAAGATATGGCATGTATGAAGAGCTATCAAGTTTTTAGCTCACCTGGCACGAAGTGCAAAGTGAGCTTATGCCGTGGCGCGGCGTCCGTCCGTCCGTCCGTACGTCCGTCTGTCCGTCCGTCTGTCCGTCCTCGTCCGTCAACTTTTAAACCTTTAAACAACTTCTTCTGAAGAACAGACAGGCCTAGAGTCATG